GCGCTAATTTTTCGAATCGAATTATTACAATACTTCGCGAGTCTGTCAGTGGACGCTATAAAAATGCTCCTACTGCTGAGCATAAAAAAGAATTATGCATTTAGAATTATGTATTGCTAATTTTAAACTAGCCATTACGAATAATAAATATAGCTAATTTATCACTTTGGCCCCACCTTTAAATGCGAATGTACTCTCATAAATTATTGATGTTCATCAAACTGAAGAAAACTTTTTTTTGTACTTTAGTTCTTAGAGAAATCAAAAAAGCATTAAACACTTAACAAAATTTAAAATATTTGATAATTTCCTAGCATTTCTTAATTGAATATTCGCTGTCGAGAAAGGCATAAAAAGAAAGTTTTAAAAAATAAATTCGTAATAAAATGGTTTAGCAAACTGGCTTATTTAAACATGAATTTATATTTCTTAATGATTGATCACATTTGAATAAGCCAATTTTTTTTATTCCGAACTATTTTGAACATGGGTGTAAATTAAGTTTTCTGGCCAAATTCGTCTTCTAAAAGTAGAGAAATAGTGACTACATCTCTAAAGTACAGGGATGAGATTCTTCCGCGGATTCGCGGATTTCCGCTTTTTCTCAGATTTTTCCATTTTTCCCGCTGAAATTTTTTTTTGCACAAGTTAAAATATTTTATGAGGAATTTAATTTTCCGCGGAGCGAAATTATTGAAGTCCTCATTCCTCCCTCTGAAGTTCCTCTAAAAATCATTTCCTTCGGATAAAACTGGTTGACCTTTATACAGGGATGAGATTTTTTTCGCCTTTGTCTCTCGAATTTCAGCCCTTTTATCAAAAACTCAAATTCTCTAAAAATTTCGCTTTTTTTAAATTTTTTTTTATTTATTTATTTATAAATATCCCGTTTTTTTTTAAAAAAAATTCAGTCGTTGAAGTCAAATAATTATATTTATTTACGATTTTCAAAGAAAAACAGAAAATTCAAACTACGTCCTTGCTGCTAACCCTTCCGCAATGTTTACTTATATTAGCTATTTTCTCCGATTTCACGCACAGAAAATAAGATTTTCCGTATTTTTTATCCGTCAGCGGGATAGCTCGTATTTTCGTAATTTAGACGTCGCTGCTTCTTGTATTCTGGAGAGAAAGCAAACAAAAAAAGCGAAAAAAAATAGAGGTGGATTTGTGGTGAAAATATTTATTTGCTCATTCAATTAATCTTGTAAATTTTTATTTATTGTGTAAACAAAAAACAATTCAAACAAGCCTTTTAGAAATCCCAAGTCCAGACTCTGCAAAGATCTCGATTTTTATTCACGCGATTTTAATATCAATCATCGATTTTCGTATTTACCTGATTTAAAAGTTGCGCATTGCAATTCTTATTTACGCTTTTTAAATATCGTACATTATGACTCGTATTTACGAGATTTAAAAATCTAATATCGTGTTTTGTATTTTTGCATTTTTAAAATCGCGAATTTATTATCAAACATCGATTTTCGTATTTACCTGATTTAAAAGTTGAACGTTGCGATTCTTATTCAGGCCATTTAAATAATGTACATTGCGATTCTTATTTACGAGATTTAAAAAACCAATATCCCGATTTGTATTTACGAGCTTTTAAAACCCTATGTAGCTACGCGAGCTTAAAATCCAATGTCGTGATTCGTTTTTGCGGTTGTAATATCGCGCGATTTTAAAATTATGCATCTTGATCTAAAAATTACGCATCATGATTTGTATTTTCGCTTTTTTTAAATTCGATGTAGTTTCATATTCACGTGATTTAAAAGCCTCATATAGGGATTTATAATCACGTGGTTTACAAGTTTAAAAATCGCACTTTTTTGTCAAATTTTTGTTTATATATATATATATTTATTCTTGGTTTTCCTCTTTTTTACTTTCTGCCTACTCTCATCCCTGAAAGTAGTTTGTAGTTGCTAAATTTAAAAAAAAGTTGTTGCTGTAGTTAACTACATTTGTAATAAAGTAGTTGCAGTTAACTACAAAAATAACATAGTTTTTCCAACCACTGCTCAACCGCAAGTCGGAAATGAAACCTAAAACACCCTCCAACCGAATCAAGGAGTGAGCATTCTCATGGATCGTCTCAAGAAAGTACCGAATTACAAAATGAAAGTAATCAAAATACTCCGGCATTAAGACGCTTTGAAAGAATACAAAATAAATTATCCGATAAACGCGAGCTTAGCCTTGAATGGATATCTGTTCATCTAAATTATGACCAGGTGGTATTCGGATATAGCAATAAATAAAATATAGCAATAAATATTCGGAATGGAAAATGAACTTCTTTCGATGGAGAAACATAAGGTTTTCAAATTAATTGAGAGGCCTAAGAATGAAAAGAGAATAAAAAGTAAATGGGTGTATACAATTAAAAATGTCGATAATAACAAAATTCACGAAGCGCGACTGGGTGCAGCTGGTTTTAATAAAATTAAAAATGCTGATTATTCTGAATTCTATTCACCTGTGGTAAACATTGAATAATTCAGTTTATTAATTGCTTTTCCAGCAAAATTGGATTTATTTGTTAAATTTTTGATGTTAAAACTGCATATTTATGTGGTGAGATTGATGCAACAGTATGTATAAAAATGTCTCCAGGCTTTGAAGATAAAAAAAAAAAAAACATTGGTCTCACTTAACTTGCATCTGGCAATGGCGTATTTACTAAAATAAATGACAATGTTTTTCTTTTCGCAATTTGTGTGCATGTAAATGATTTGGCAATCTTTTCTAATATTTTAAAAGTATACCTGGATATCATTTCAAAATTTAATCAAACGTTTTAATTAAAAGAAACAACTAATGGTTCAAAATTTTTAGGCATTAAGATTTCACAAAAAGAAGACGGAATTGATTTATCTCAAATTCATTACATAGAATGTTTAATGAAAAAATATGGTTTGGAAAAATGTAAGAAAACTAATACCCCCATAACTAAAGGTGAAGATAGAAATCCCACTGATGATATAGTAAATAGACTGATTATCAGGAAATCGTTGTTGAACTTTTATATTTAGCGAGTAGAACACGACCACAGATATTGCTTTTGTAACTAGTTATTTATCACAATTTAATAAACGTTCCGTAAAAAAGCATTATGTTTTGGCTAAAAGAGGTTTGAAATATTTGAACGGTTCAAAAGATCGAGTCATGTTTTATAGTAAAGAATTCGGTTTTTTAAACTGTAGAGCGGATGCAAGTATATATCGTAAATAAAGAATATCGACGGAATTACTGTTCCCCAGTATAACACCGTTACCAGATAGCAACAAAAATTCGACAGTCACGTGGCCTCAATTGTCTAGTCGCACGTGACTTCGGAGTCGTCCACGCGTAGGTCCAAAAAGGGTACTAAGTCCGCCTTTGGTGACGTCATATTTCGACATCCCCGAAGATATCAACATGAGACCAGAATGGGCCATATAATTGTCGCAGTGACGTTACCCTGTGACGAAAATATAACAAACTCACAATTTTACAGGGTCTATTAACTGTGACATATTTACGTTTCAACAGCGTTACCGTGTGACGAAGATTTCATGTATTCAGGTCTCAACTGGGTCACGATGAGACGAAACTGAGACATATTTACGCATCAAAATAGTCACTGTATGACAAAGATGTGACATATTCACGTCTCTACTAGGTCACAGTGTGTCGAAGATATGACATATTCACGTCTCAACTGGGTCACAGTGTGACTGAATTGTGATATTTACGTCTCAATAGGACTTTCGAGTGACTAAGTTACGACGTGAATATGGCACATCCTCATCAGACCACTGCTCCTGATTTATCATTGGGCCAGAGAGGCTCAGGCGTATTTTTTTTTATAATTTTTTTGTGTGTTTTTTCTTAAGAATTGTTTATTAGATTTATGAGTGAACAAAAATTTTAATAAATATACACTCAAATTTACTAATATATCTGTCAAGACTTTTAAGAATGAAATTTAGAAAGGCTGGCTAAAGAAAGAAAATTAATGAAATACTTAAGCATGCAACACGAATATCAAAAAAGTCGCAAGTGAATTTTATTTTTCATTTTAATTTATTTTCGAACAGGACAAGACAGGCTTATATTTCAAGAGGTAAATTGTTTAGGATGTACTTAATGCGGCTTTATAAAAGAAGAAGTTTTTTTAATTGTCTTTTTTCATTTCTCAATTGCACTATATAAAATTTTTAAATAAACCATTGATGATTCTAGCAGTTCAGACAAAGATCGCTCAGCTTATTCTTTGAGAATATTATACTTTACTCATGTTAAAAATAATTTAATGGCACTTAATAAATAAACAAAAATTAATTAGATTTGAACTTACGTCCAGGGGCCCCCTGACAGTTCTGTGCTTAGGATCCCCGCATCTCTAAATCAGGCCCTGGTCACACGGTGATATCGCTGCGCCAATTATATGTCTCAGTGTGGTCTCGTGTTGACGTCAAAATGTGACGTCGATGTGCATACGTAGTAATCTTCAAAAACTCATGCATTGTCGTCACAGAGGTCTCTGTGACAGTCGTGCAATTTTGTTGCAATCTGGTAACGGTGATATCTTGGTACTATACTAATTACATAACTAAAAAAACTACACTCAGTGGCGCGACAGCCCATAGAGGGCCAAGGCCTAATGTGTCCATCTCAGTTTTCTTGACATTGGGCTCTGGGATGCAGGAGCAGATGTTCCTGTTAAATGGTCAGCCGAATGCAAAAACCCCCAGTGTTTATTTCCCAAGCATGCGAGGTACTCATTTATCGACCAACTGAAGGGATGAAAGGCTGAGTCGGGTACTGCCAGCTACATATCACTTGAAATTGAAACAAAATTTCAATTATTGTTTTGTTAGATCCCTAAAACATAAACAATACTGCCAGCATCTCTTTTTTTTGTTTAGTAATTGAACAGTAACCTGTCGGCAAAAATACAAATAAATGACCATCAGATAACAGAGAGTCAATAAATCAATACGGCATCAAAATAAAAAAATACTTTAATGGTAGAATGAATATGAAATACAAGTTTTCTTTGTAAAAATTATTCACATTACATCATTTGGAACGATTTCAATGAATTGTAGTGAGAATTAAAATAGGCCAAAGAACTCAATTCGATATTATCATGCAAATTATTGTTTAAACCATAATGAAAGACATACATATCCTGTTTAAAAATCAATTTTTCTCACAATAAATTTCACCTTCGCTTACAAAAGACAACCCCTACCGTAAATCTTTGCGTTTCGATGGGTTTTTTTTTTGTAGTCAAAAAGAGGTATAATTGATAAAAAGTCAGACATTCTAGGATATTTTGTATAAATCTATGGGCTTAAACGAAGCAATTGCCGATGACCATAGAGCATTTTCCAAACATTAAAAATTCCAAATCCAAAAGATCAAGTCTAAATAAAAACTGATGAATTATAATGAATTAAAAGCATATTATGTCAAGTTTAGTTGATAAGGAAAATTAAGGCCATTAAAAATTGAGATAGGCTTAAATTAGCTCAATAATAAATAGGCTTAATTAATTAAAAATAATTATTTTTCATTTATACTTAATCCGTCTTTTAAGAAAATGATTTTAATATGCTTTTAATTGTTTTGACCGTTACAGTGCCCATCGAAATACAGTCAAGTCGACTACAGTCTTTCCGTTTAGTTTACAAATAATTCTGTTTCGTACAGCTGCCTCTCGGACAAATAAAAAATAGCACTTAGAAACTCTGGTGTACATTTTGAGGTGTTCATCTGAAGTTCCTTGAAGACAATACTTTTCTGAGTTGTCCGATAAGCCATTTATTACAACCATGATTTTTTTGTGGAAGACACGCCAATTCGACCAATGAAACGATTTCTGAAATATAAAAAAAAAGAAAGAATGGTTATAATTTAAGAACATCGGTTAAAAAAAAGCTTAAAATTGTATAAAAGTATCTGTGATTGATCAGACGAAGCAAATGTGTTAATAATAACTCCCAAAGGTGGCGCTTTGGAAAATATTGTGTATTTCTTATTGTCAATGACAGAAATTGGTGGTTGTTGACTTCCACCAGAAAAAGTTGATAGTCACATAGTCGCTCAGGTAAATGTCCGAAATATATACTAGGTCTCGTTAAATGTCACTGCCCGGTATGCCATACATCAATGTTTTTTAAGGTCAAGAGTCACTGCCCGGTATGCCCTATATCAATGTTTTTTTAAGGTCAAGAGTCACTGCCCGGTATACTTTTGCCTGGTATGCCCTACATCACGAGGTACTGGCTTCCTGCCAATAATATTTTAGTGTCTCGCTGAACCTACACCTCATTCAATTATTAGAAATTTGAAGAAAAAAAAATTATAAAATGAAAAGTTTCTTTCATTTATTGTGGGGTAGTGAAAGTGCGGAATTTGATTTTTCTGCCGTAATTAAACAAAATGATTAATGAATGAATTAATGAATTTAACAATGATCAAAACATAATTAAATTTCAAGTAGGGGACATCAACGAGTCCTTCGCGAGCTACTGGTGTCTTACCGATGATATTGATCGGTATCATATACCGATGATATATGATACCGATGTGTCTTGCTGATCTACCTCATTCAATTACTCCAGATGAGCCGCGATGGTTCAGGGCCTGCCAGTCAAGAGATCCAGATTCGAATCCCAGCGATGGCTGGGTGATATGAATTCTGCTCCCGGCTCACCCTGACCACAATGTTTACGTAAAATATGACAGACAAATCATTGATTAGCATATCATTGCCATTGGGAAGAGCATGAGAGATTTTTGTGCTTTCATCTTCATGTAACGCAAATGAGGTTTACTTCCATAAAAGAAAACCTCAATGAAGGCTAGTTTGTCCCAATACTCGATAAAGCCCCTTGTCTTCTGCGTTGAGTTCAAAATTACAAGGCATTACAAGGATTTAAGCATTGATAGGCGAAAACACAAAAAATGGGGCGGCTCTTTAATGCTTGTTATAAAAAAAAGATTTCAGATGATAAGTAGTTGGGCTAAATTTATTGCTGATGCTCACCAAAAGATTAGCGAATTGAAGAGTATAATTAAAACCGAAATAGTTGAAGGTTTTACTGACTAATTCGGTTAAAGAGGACAAAAATCGAAAACGACAACAGGTTTGGCAGATCAGCATTTAGATGCTATATTGAGAATAGCTGCTACCAAATATTTCGAATGGTACTGATGCTAAGTTAAGCAAAAACAACGTTTAACATCACTTTAAGGTCTACATTATATTAATCTCTTTCTTTAATTCAGATTTCTTTTCTCTTTACTCAATGTGAAACAACATGAGGTTCACATTTTCGTCTAACTTCCTGGCTAGATATCTTTCAGATTTTGATGGTCAAAAAATGAATTCGTCCGGAACAAGTCCTTAGACTGAATTCATAATTTATAACATCAGCACTAAATGACTGCCATAATTCTGCCGTGCAATCGAAATATTAACGCAATCGACAAAAAATTCAAAATCGAGATTTTTACACAGTCCCTTGACGCACTGTAAGATTCTATGTTGTTGTCGTTGTTGACGTATGCCTGTTTAGGCAGAGGGGATGCGATTGTTCTTGTTCTCCAGTGGCGCCATCTATGGCCAAGAATTCGACTTCTCCTACCGACGAGGCTATCCCGGCCTAAGATTCTATGTAAAATCTTAATTATCAGGTGATACTATACAGCTTTATTGTATTTACGCGACTGAAACCGGTTTGTACTTGTTTACGTTGTATCAATTGGCTAAATTAGACGATATATAATATAAATTAGACGATTGGATAAATTAGACGATAGGTTATATAAATATAGAATATTTATATGATCAGGTTTTTTATTATATTATAATAATTAGACCAATTTAATATACGCTCTGTGCTTTTTTAATAATTGCATGTTTTGCGCGAGTTTATGTACAATACTTTTATATTTGAACATACATATAATGGGTTTTTATTCAGGAAATTTCTTCATATACCTCCTACTTGTATTTATTTTTAACGCATTTCATTACAATGTTAACCAATTGATACACGAACGTAAACAAGTTCAAACCGGTTCCAGTCACATAAAAACAATAAAGCTGTATAGTATCACCTGATAATTAAGATTTTACATAGAATCTTACAGTGCGTCTAATAATTTGACTAGAGACTGTATATCCAGCATTTTTGTATAAATTACTATTGCAAAAAAAGTTTTTTAGAAAAAAATTCCATTTTTATACAGTTTATTAAAATTCTATTTTAGTGTTGATAGTATAAAGAAATAAAAAGAATTGCCAAGATTCCCAAAATCTATCGTGAGGCACTTTAGTTGTTTTTTCAATTGCACGGCAGAGTTAAAGGCTGGTTTTTAGTACCTTGAAAATGAAAATAGCCAGTTTAGTACATGATAATATGAACAGTAAATGAAAGCTTATTCAAGATATTAACTATTTTTAGTTTATTTCATACTTTAAATTCTATGCGTTGATGCTCACCTAGGAGCCAATAGTGATGGAATCATATCGTGGAGGCAATCGATTCCTAGGAGTCAATGTGATGACTATCAATGGAATCAATCGTATCAGATGAAGAGGAATGGACAAGGTCCGAATATTCGTCCAACTGTCGCTGCTTCTTCCTCACATTCCAGTGCAGGCATTCAGCAAGACTGTCGAACCAATCACTTATTTGGTCTTGAGAACAAATGGAAGGAATGGGGTAGATTGACATGGTCACTCGAAGGCTGCAATTAAGAAAGACAATTAACATTATTCAAAATTATAAGGACATTGATTTAATAACATTTATGAGGTTAAACAGAATGAGATTTGAAGGGTTAATTTCCCGTTTAGTTTTAGCTAGCCCAACACAACCAGTGGCGTAGTTCCGGGAAGGGTTAGCGGGACAAAACCCCCTCCGAAATTGTACACTACTTGATTAATGAGCTAATTCGGTTTCAGTAAGTAATTTTTTGTCATTACGGTAAAATTAAAAATTTCAGATACTTATATACAGAGCATGGCCAAATTATTAGACGCATTATAAGATTCTATGTATAATCTGAATAATCAGATGATACTATACAGCTTTATTGTTTTTACTCGACTGAAACCGGTTTGCGACGCCCGGTGGCTGAGCGGTAACGCTTCGCGCTGTCGCTGCACAGGTCCCTGGTTCGATCCTCGGGCAAGGCAAGGTTGACTCAGCCTTTCATCCCTTCAGTGGGTCGATAAATGAATACCAAGCATTCTTGGGAACTAAACACTGGGGGTTCCGCGTTCGGCTGACCACCTGACCGGAACATTTGCTCCTGCACCCCAGAGCCCAAGGTCAAGAAAACTGAGATGGGCACAGTAGGCCTTGGCCCTCTTTGGGCTGTCGCGCCACTGAGTTTAGTTTTAGAAACCGGTTTGCACTTGGTTACGTCCGTGTATCAATTGGTTAAATTAGGCGTTATATAATATAAATTGGACGATATGTTACATAAATATAGAACATTTATTCCATCAGGCATTATATTAGTGTATTATAATAATTAGATCAAATTATAATACGCACTGCAGTTTCTTAATAATTGCATGTTTTGCGCAAGTTTATAGGCAATACTTTTATATTCAGGGGTCTGTCCAGACATTTTGTGAAAGGGCCGTTTTTCGTGAAATTGTGAAAAAATTACTCACATTCTTTCAACCAGGGTCCGCTTTTATGAATTTGTGCAAATAGGGTCCGTTATTGCAAAAAAAAAAAGTTTTTCAAGGAGTTTTTAAATTGTATAGACATACAAGATTATGCTCAACACTGTAAAGAATAAAATAACATGAACACAATGAGTAAAATAACATGAACAATAAAATAACACATAGAATAAAATAACACGAGAGTTGGAAGCACGTACCTGTCACCGTGTCTAAGTTCTTGCCGTTTTCTTCCATCAAAGGACACCCATGCCAGGTTTCGGGATTCAGGAGACACCATAATCTGCAATACAATTTATCATTGTTTAATTTAGTTTTCTCATTTAATTTCATTGTTTATGTGGCACCAAATTAAATATATTTCAGTTCGATATGGCTGAAAATTAAGTAATTTTACAAGAAATGATGAAAATCAATATTTTAGCTATAAATTACTATTTATTTTTTTAGTGAATAACACTGGGGAACAAATTTTTTGTTGCATTTATATAATTACTTTATCTTGCTTAATTCAGATGTGGGGATTTCAGTTCTGAAATTAGTTTTGCCCTCAAACCCACTCACTTTCTATTTTAAATGGCATTAGTAGTCTATTTTTGTCGAAATGTACGAATTTAAAAACGTTATATATAGCAGGGAGTATCATAAATATTGCTACTAACTTCCAGGGGAGCTAGGGCACATGATCAGGACTAAAATTGCACAGAGAACCATGTCTGGAAACGTCGACGTAATCCCCTAGAGGTGCTTCCCCTATTATGACCTGTTCAGAACCACACAACGAAATAGTTCATGATAGGGAAGCGCTTCTAGTGGCGTATGACGACATTTCCTGTCAAGGGATTTTACGCAATTTTAGTTCTGATCATGTGCCCCAACTCCCCTAGAAATTAGTAGCAGCATTTATGAGACCCTGTTATACATAACGTTTCTAAACAAGCAAATTTCGACAAAAAGATAGAGTAAAAATGTCGTTTAAAAAAAACTAGCTCAGAAAAAGAAACCGATCGCAGATTTGAAATCAGCGATACGAAAGTTCGTATCCCAGCGATGGCTGGTCGATTCGAATTCCGCACCCTTCTCGCACCGACAATAGGGCTGACTAAAATATCCTCAGTGGTAGACGGCTCTTGGTTTAGAGTCTCCTTGCCGTCATGCGGGAGGTTTCCGTGGTTTTCCTCTACATGTAACGCAAATGCGGGTTAGTTCCATCAAAAAGTCCTCCACGATGGAAAAGTTCTCCCAATACTTGATCCAGGAGTTCCCTGGTCTTCTGGATTGGGTTCAGAATTACAAGGCTACGGAATTGAACATTGGTAGTCGTAAACCCGAAAAATTAGGCCGGGTGTTCAACGACGGCTATAAAATAAAATAACTTCGGACGCAAGTGTGTGTTAAAATCAATTAAAAACTTTTAAGATGTTGGAATTTTAAGTGGTTCGTATCTATGACATAAAATGGAATATTGCTAAATAAGATTGTAATAATATTTACACCTTTTGATACAGGTATTATTTGAAATCAAAGAACCCTTTATTTCTGTAAGATAGTTGTAATTGGTGCGTCCTTTGCACATAGCAATGGTATTTCAAATCAATTCTCTCAAAACTAGAGCTAATCAGTTTTAAGAGCTCTGTTTCTGATCTTAATCTCACGTCAAAAAAACTTTGTTAACTGAAAAAACTAGGAATTAGTGAATTTCTCCTTAACTACATTTGGAATGCAGTAAATACAAATGTGCATTATTCGGAGCTTTGGTTGAACTCAGTGTCAAAGAAGTTCTTTGAGATACTTACTTTAAGTTCAACTCCTGCTGGAACCACGATGGGTCTGAAAGATAAGGAATGTGGGCAAATGGGGGTGATCATGATGGCAGGAACGCTGGGGTGTATCATGGAAGCACCAGCGGCCACAGCGTATGCTGTGCTGCCAGTTGGCGTTGAAACAATTAAGCCTAAATCAAGAAAAAAATCGATAAATGGTTAAACCAAGTTTTTGGCTGAAACAAAAGTGTTAAAGTAATCAAAACCGAAATAATTTAAAAGTGCTTGTGTTTGTTAAGTAAGACTGAACTCGAAAGCGTACATTTGAGGAGGAAAATTGTTGTACATGGTGAGGCGGAAAAAAGTTATCATCACGCAGTACATCATACATGCTCTTTACTCATTTTTTGTCATATTCGGAATTCTGACTTTGAAAGAATGAGATGTAGCAACAGTGTGAAAAATATATTCTTAATAAAGTTCGAAAGATGCGTTTTTCCTCATATCTGTAGAGCTAAAAAGAAAATTCTTATTATTAACTACATCTAGAGATTTAACGAAAAATACGAAGAAAACATGGAACATAAGAAACATAAAAATACGAAGAAAACGAGGAAAAAAATGTATACATTTTTAAAAGGATAACAAAAATTATTAATAAAAATATTAAAAATTTGAAAAAAATTAAAACGTTTGAAAATAATACAAAGTAACGATATAATCTCGTCACCAGCACACACAATTACATCAGCAAAAAAGAGGGCTTTCTAATATTGTATTACTATGGCCAAAACAAAATATATATACATATATAAAGCTCATCATTAAGTCGAAAGTTATTCAGAGTGTTATAATATTGCTCATAGAAATATGATACATAATATTGTTACAGATTTCATTAAAAAGGATTTATTAAAAAATTGTATGTGATCAGAAAGTTGCTTTTCTATGTCAAATTCATTAGAAGTCCCAATCATTAGAAAGTTGAGCACTATCATCAAAATAACATTGAACCAGAATGATATACATAGTTGGCCAACAAAATCGTTCGAATTTTGACTATATCATAATGTACCGAAATATTTCGTCTGCAGAAATGTTAAACTATATAATATCGTTCACTGGGAATTTAAGACATCCTAGTCTGGGGTCTGTTTAAAAGAAATTTGGGTTCGTCAACGGACCCTTCACAAAATATCTTATCATAAAAACGGACACTTCACAAAATATTTTAACTTAAAAACGGACCTTTCGCAAAATATTTTAACTTAAAAACGGACCCTTCACAAAATAATTTATCTTTTAATCGGACCCTTCACAAAGTCTTCCGCAGACACTTCTTCCTTTATTCGTCTGAAATGAATATTCTGCCTTCAGCAGTATTGGCTAAATACTAAACATTTATATGTTGTATCGCTAATTTAGTAGCTGTAATTGCTGTTTATTTTTTTTAAATTTAATTTTTTTAATTACGGTTTTACAGTTTTAAGCATAATCTTGTATTTATTTACAATTTAAAAATTCCTTGAAAAAGTGTTTTGCAATAACCGGACCCTATTTGCACAAATTCATAAAAGCGGACCCTGGTTGAAAGAATGTGAGTAATTTTTGTCACAATTTCACGAAAAACGGACCTTTCACAAAATGTCTGAACAGACCCCTGCTAGTGCAGTTTAAAAATAGGTAATATGAAGCATTTAATGTTTGATGTGGCATTGAGATGACATAGTTATAGTATCTGAATCATTTAAAATTATTTCTATTTTCACGTTAATATTGTTACTGTATAAATTTGAATCAAATTTCTATAAAGGTTTAGATACAAGATCATGAAACAACAAAGACGCGGATATGGTTTATAATTACAGTCAAATCTCGCTATAGTGAACTCCCGGATATAGTGAACGAAATGTTCGCTCCCGTGCACATGTAATAAACATGCTATCAGGGGTCTGTCCAAACATTTTGTGAAAGGTCTCGTGAAATTGTGAAAAAATTACTCACATTCTTTCAACCAGGGTCCGCTTTTATGAATTTGTGCAAATAGGGTCCGTTATTTCCAAAAAAAATTTTTCAAGGAGTTTTTAAATTTTATAGACATCAAGATTATGCTCAATACTGTAAAATTGTAATTAAAAAAATTAATTTTCAAAAATAAACAACTATGGCTCCTTCTAAATTAGAGATGCAACATGCAAATATTTGGTATTTAGCCTATACTGCTGAACGCAGAATATTACTTTCGGACGAATAATGGAAGAATCGTCTGCCGAAGACAAAATTTAATTCGTTTACATCCATCTTTCTTGTTTTCTGCCCTGGAAAGGGTTTATTCGATTAACAAAATAATAATGAAGATAAACAAATTTGTGAAGGGTCCGATTAAAAGAAAAATCCTTTTGTGAAGGGTCCGTTTTTAAGTTAAAATAGTTTGTGAAGGGTCCGTTTTTATGAAGAGATATTTTGTGAAGGGTCCGTTAACGGACACAAATTTCTTCTAAACAGACCCCTGATAGTGATGTATACTTCGGCCCCTTGAAGGTTCACTGTATTAGATTGCAAGAACTACAAGGAAATTAAAAGAAAACGTATCAATATAAAATGTGGAGAAAAAAAACTATTTTGTTACCGATTTTAGAACAACATAGTGGGTTATGTTCTCAAAATAAGTTATCTTTTCACAAGATAGTTCCATACATAGTTCAACAGGAATATTTTTCAATATAATCAGTTTTTATCGATATATTTGCATCTTAAGCGGTAAACGAAAAATGAATCTATATCTTTAAGAACTTTTTTAACGTATAAGATTCAGAAATAGAAAAATGAATCACGCGATTTGAAGTCGAAAAATGCTTACCATCTCCTTGAACAGTCGTCACATGCTTTCCATCAAGGTAAAGGTCAATGTTAGAAAGATACGGAGATGGACCTCGATCGACAACAACTTCGTTCAGAACCTAACAATTGCATATTTTTACGTTAATAATTTGAAATAAAATTGCAATTAAAGCACTTTTTTCAGTATGAAAGTAGGTCAGAAAAACAAACTATATGTATATAATTGCAAAAAAGAAGAAAGAAAAAAATGCTAAAATTAAGACAATGAGCTTGAAATAAAATTAAGACTATCTTGTTTGCAGAAAATTTATCGATTAACAATATTCTTGTTTAAATACTGCTTCATAGAGTGAAAAAAAAGTATCCAATTTACAGGACTTCGTTTTGAGTGTTTGTTTTTGACAATAAAGCGGTTGATTTTAGAGGGGTGGTTATTAATATTTATCTGTGGCTACTGAGTTACGTAAGGTAAAAAATATTTATAGAAATATAATTTACAATGGTTTTAAAATTAGGTAACTTAGAAACATTTTATTTGCATCATTTCAGTAATTTGAACCAGTCTGTAAAATTAATAATAATCACATTAAACAAATATTCGTGACTTTTTATGTATATTGTTTAGTTCGAACAATAAACATACAAATTTATAAATTGTATTCGACTAGTTGTATAAACTGTATTCGACATTAATAGTTGAGAATTTGTACTTCGACTTTTATGTATTAGCATAATCATGGGAGGAATTTCTGAAACTCATTTCAGTCTCTTTAACAAGGAAGTCGAAGTTTTTTAAAGTAATTAATCATTGTTTTTTCATTTACAAAAATTTTATATTTACCAGGAATGTCGTGTGAGGTTCATTCTTTTTGTCGCTAAGGTCATTTTTTCTGACAATTATACAGCGAAGCCTACTCCTTAGGGTAAGAGCAGCATGACCTGAAAAGAGAAAAAAAAGTTCAAAAAATGGTATTTAGAATAATAACAAATGGAACACAAATCATATTAAAAAAGGATAGGGCATATATAGAATAAAACAAAGCAGCAACGCGAATGAAGAACAAATAAAATACTTAAATGGACATACTATAGTTTCGATTCTATAAACAAGAACCTTTATTAGCTTCTGAATTCATCAAATAATAGTAAAGAGGCAAACACATGTAAAGTGGTTAAACTAATAGGAAAAGAGGAAGAAGTTTGGACTACTCATATACCGGGTGTTCCGTTATAAGATGTTGTGGTCATCGGCCATTATGGCAGAGGGTTGCGCGATTGTTCTTGTTTTCCAGTGAAGATGGCCAAGAAATGGACTTCTGTCACACCCGTTTTATAGGGCACACCTATTCACACATCCATTCATTCATACATAGATCATAATTTTGACCTGAACCAGAGAACGATCAATCTCCAATTCAGTTCTCCGGGAGGTATAATTTGTTATGGAAACATGGAGGACTTCGTGACCCGACAGGTTTAACGTACATCAGTTACCATTTAGTACACGGGGAGTCTTTGGCTGGCTGGATTAGCATTTGACACTTTTGCCTTTTAAAGTTTGGAAACCTATAAAATGCGATATTTGAATACAAATGTTTTACTTTGTGCTCCACGGATAAATTTTAAAACTACGCTGCAGATCAATACAACGGTTCCAGTTGCTGAGCATTTTACTGCAACGTGTATTTCCTATCTATACACAATACCCGTCGTACTAATAAAGCAATTAAGAGCCAACCGAGTTTGGGGGCTGGTCGATACGAATTCCGCACCGCCTCGCACAAACCGCAATGCTGGCGTAAAATATCCTCAGTGGTAGATGGATCATAAGTTAAAGTCCCCTTGACTTCAGACTAACCGTTACAGACTTTCGCGGTTTTCTCTCCATGTAACGTAAATACGGATTAGTTCTATCAAAAAAGTCCTCCACGAAGGCAAATTTCATCCAATACTACTTGTTCCAGGAGTTTCCTTGTCTTCAGAATTGGGGTCAGATTTACGAAACTACTGAGTTGAACATTAATAGTCGTAAACTCATAATTGGGTCGGCTGTTCAACGACAATTATAAAATACCGCAATTAATAAAACAACACTGGCGTCAGTAATAAAATGGCAATTTTTATAGCTCTTTACGGGTTTCTTAATATTTGAGCTAGGAAAAGAAGCTATCAAAATCTAAACAATCATTACTGATGAAAGCAGAAATGAAAACATTAAAAAAAAAAATTATTCCTAATGAAAGTTTTAGGTGTTTCTAATGGTTGCCGATTAACTACTCTCTTTTTCCTTTGACAGTCAAACAGTATCTGATGTTTTAGTCTCGCCTTCTTCAGTAGTAATTCGTTAGATTTCGGACAGACTACACTATTGATATTATGATATACAGTGTAAACACTATTGATATATAAACTATTGATAATACATGATTTCTGACAGACATTATTATTTTCGAACAAACACACTAGTTCAAAAAAGCAATTGATATGGAACCCTGTATATAAAATTAGAAAAAAATTAAGTCGAAATAATTTTATAGATAAAATTACCTTCGAGAACATTCGTGACTTGTTCTTCGAAATTGTCGAATTCGAATGGCGTTAAGAATCCTAAGGAACCCAGGTGAAATGCCATGACTGGAGGAACGCTTTGCTGAAAATGAAAAATTAAAATAAATGACAACATATAAATCTGGCGTAAATTGATATGATCACAGCAATAATTTGGAATATGTTAAAATTCTGATCAGGCAGGTAATTTCGTCGTTATTTGTACATCCGGGTATGTAAATAATCAAGAAGAAAAAATGCAAATTGTCGATTAAGAAACACTCAAAGAGCCATGATGGCACAGGGGACAGAGAGCTCTTCTAATGAGGTGACTCGGGTTCAAATCCCAACAATGGCTGGTTGATACGAATCCCGCACCGCGCCCAGCTCACACCAACCACACTGCGGACATAAAAATATCATCAGCGGTAGACGGATCATGGGTTAAAGTCCCCTTGCCGTCAAGTAAATCGTGTTAGGTCTTCGTGGTTTTCCTCTCTATGTAACGCAAATGTGGGTTAGTTAATTAATTACAAATCTGCGGAGTTGAACATTAGTAGTCGTAAACCCGAAAAATGGGTCGGCTGTTCAACGACGGTTATAAAATAAAAGTTTAAAATATCGTTTTAAAGTAACATGTAAGTTGAATACATAACATTGAGTACATCGAATACATTAATGTAAGCATAGTAATTAATTTCAATTTTTAACCTTATACAAGTGGTTGGTTTTCAGTTTTAGGCCTAAATATCAATGCAGAAAAATTATAAAATCTCAACGGAAAAGCAGGAAAAGTGTGTTAAAAATACTTGAAAAAAATTGGAAGACATTTCGACAGTGTAAAAAGAATGTTTACCTGAAAAAGTGACGAGGCATACAAAAGCGTGCCATCCCCACCCAGGCAGATGATGAAATCGATTTTGTCAGTAAGGTCATCTTTACCTAGGCAGAAATAATGGAGCGTATTACAAAATAAATAAATAAAATCATATAGAGTGCAGTAGAATTAAAGGATCAGCTCAAAACTGAACAATCTGGACTGAAAAGTTTATGCATTTATTGCAAATTACTACTGCGGACTGGGTTGTAAATAGACATCTGTCTTTGTGTTATCAATCATTTTATTAAATTTAAATAAACTATGAGTTGATTTACTAACATTTCAATGCTATTTGAAATTACATTTTGAATAAATAATGTATGTTTCCCTATGTAACGTATGTTTCTCTATTAGCAGTGCGCAAATTAAAAAACGGACCACTTTTGATCAGTTCTTCAGTTTCTGAGACTCAATCTCAATGGTCCAAGCGGTTGATTTTAAATATGCTAACTAATTAGTACAGACGATATTTTAAGTCACGAAATTAAACCCAAAATCGTACTTTCTCTAAATAAACATATCTTTGAATTTCAGACCCCCAGAATATACGGGATAACCGCAATTTGGGAAATATAGTACCAGTAGTTTGGTTGGGAGAGCGGTTCAAAGTTTGAACCCCTAAATGTCAATTTTATTTTATGCATATTTCGCCATATCTCAAGAATTTTTGAGAAAATTGAATATTTTATACACGTAATTATAAAATTCATTTATCCAAAGATAATTCCACGCAAAAAATAAGTTCTAGTAAATATTTATTATTTTTTTTATTTATCAATAGTCGAAACAATTTTCAATTGTAAGGTATACAACTTTTACAAAATTTGAGCAAATTAAAACAAAGTACAAAATTTGAGCAAAATCGATTGAATAGTTCCCGAGAAATCAAATTTTAAATATACGATTTTTCTAAAATCCAATATCTCAGAAACTGTTCTACCGATTTCGCTCAAACTTGGTATTTTGCCATGTAAAATTAGATACTTTAAAATAATGTAAAAAATTGATTACCTTACAATTTAAAAACTTTTCGGCTGTTGATGAATGAAAAAATAAAATATAATAAATATTTAGTAAAGTTTATTTTTTAGGTGGAATTATGTTTGGACAAACGAATTTTATAATTGTGGGCCAAAATTTTTCAATTCGCTTTAAACGTTCTCGAGATATTACGAAATACGCATAAAGGGAAATTAACGTTAAAGGGTCTAAACTTTGAAACGCCCTTCTGAACAAGCTATTAGAACCATAATTCTCTATGGCGGCTACCCCCTATGTTGTTGGAGTGATTAATCTGAATCCATCGAAAAAACGGTATGTTTATTCAGAGAAAGTACGTTTTTGTGTCTGATTTCCTAATTTAATTATCGCCTGTACTTATTAATTAGCATATTTCAGGTCACCCTCTCGGATCATTAAGATTTAGTTTCAAAACGTGATCATTCGATCAAAAGTTATCCGGGGTAGTCCGTTTTTTATTTTGTGCACTGTACATCAGTATAAATTTCTGTGTTTGGCTTCAGTTTCCATGTTTGCAGTCTTAAGTCCTTTATTCCTGTAAAGTAAAGCACTCTCGCAACAGTCCGTTGTGGACGGCGGGTCCCATGGATGTTAAGGTTACATAATTTCGTAACCAACGGCATGATTGTGGCTTGGAAAAGCGCACAGGCCGCCTTTACATCCCAAACAAGCCAGTATCCATCTGTCGGAAGATGGATGGTCTGCAAGCCGCCACGGGGGATCGAATTCTAGTACCTTACAATGACAGCTCAGTGCCTTAATCAGACATTGTGACTCCCTTTATTCTTAAATAAAACCAAAATTGGCTGATGATTAGAAAAATAGGCAGATGAAAAACATCGAAAGAACATACATCTCGTTGCATTCTGCCTGGAAAACCATTAAATTATTTTCACCCGATTTCAAAATAAGTTAGAATTTGAGTTAACAAATGGGGCTGCTGGCTGAAACAATGTTTTTTTGATAGGTGTAAGATCATGCTATCTGAAATATTTGAACTGGAGTCTGTTAATTTTGTTCTCAGGCTGCATTTTTATTGATAATGACGGTTATTTTGAAAGTATTGTTTTATAGATTTTTCAGTTAGTATCGCCATCTGGAAACGAATATAATAATGATTTGTAAGACTTGGGTAAGAATATTTGATTTCGTAAACAAAACTCGGCAAGCCATACTTTTCTCTTTATTTCTTTATTTAGCTTTTTTAATCGTTGATTCTATTCGGGATATTCTTTATAACAATATTAATATAACATGGATAAAACAGCGTGTGTTTACCTTCTTTAAATGTGCAGAGTTTTTCTTTAATGGGTGTGTATGATGAATTGAGGAGAAGATAGTTTTCATCCAGTACAGATGCCTCTACGAAAACCAGCATGTGTTTTTCCTGCAACAAAATATCAAGTTTGAGAGCTTTCAACTTAAAAATTACATCGTTGCATCGTCCACTTCACTAAAACCAAACGCTGCAATAAAAAAAAAAAAATGGATAGTGAATTTTCCCGAATTTTGACAAAACCGTTTTCTGGAAAATGTTCCGGATGAATATTTTATTAAATTTGACTATTTTCATTATTTTTAAGTTACAAATTTAATCAAAAGTGTCAGAGTATTGTATCATATCGATTATGCGTTATATCGAATAAAAAAGGTGATATAACATAAAATAAAAAAGGTATGAATGAATAAGTTCTCAATCATTCCCAGAAATCAAATTTCGGAAATTCTGTATGACAAACAAGAGTACTAGCACCCGTGCCGTTCTTTCAAGCAGTGCGAATGATTTTAATATCAAGTAAAAAAAATTCTGGAAGGTCTGTCATGATGCCATAGGTGATGAAAACAAATTTACCATGGCTTTCAATTCATAACAATCTAGAGTACTTTTCTAGAATGATTTTCTGAACTTTGTTGCTGAGAGGACAGTCCAGCTATCACGAGAACTCCTCCCTACTGACTTTGTTTACTGGTCTGAAAACAAGAGCAAAACCATTTTTAATGAGAAAAATAGGGAAAATGATAGGATTTATGCAACTCACACAAACGTGAAACTGTTAACTCTACATGCCAACTGGATAAGACTTATTTTCGTAACAACCAGCACGTGTCTCTTCTGTCAGAAGGAGTTCTCATGCCAGCAGAACAATACATTTTACAGTAATATTTACTTTATAAGCAGCACCAAACTAGCGCGTACCAGAGTAGTTTAGATAAATATAGTATACCGATTTCCAATATTTATCTACTCATTCATCTAAATTGTAATATTATTTGGAGAAAAAAAAACGATGCAAAAGTCTTAAGGGGAGTCGGTAGGGCATATAAAATGCTAAAACTGACCTTTTCGATGTACCTTATCTAAACTACTTATGATATAACTTTGAAATTTTTTGGGATTGTATCAGTTATATGCTGTGATAATGTTTTAGCGTTAACAGAAATACTTTTTGAGTTATGAAACTTCTGCCAAAGATATGTATTAACAGTTATCTCAGTGTAAACATGTATATACAAATGTTCTGCGAAAAGAAAAACTGATATCTGTTTAGATCCTGAGAAAAGGTACACCGAAAAAGGTCGGCTTTAGAATAGAAGGGCTAGTTCACTCCGCTCTTAGAGCTGAAGCTACGATTTCCCTCATGACGTCACTGTGTCCGCAGATCTCGGAAGATCGCACGCAAAGATATTATGATAACTTTGCATCTTTCTCTTTGTAAAAATAAGTTAGACTTTTTCTGGTTATTAGCTTTCAAACTTTACGTAATTAACACATTATTTCCATTCATAAACATAGTTTAAAAAAACTTTCTTGGCCAGTATATTAAGAGAATACTATTTTAAACTTATAAAAATATTTTACTAGTTGGCGAAAATGACACTATAAATACTTTATTTTAAAAAGTTCAGTTTTAACTTTAATTATTAAGAAAAATGAAAGCATATATCGACACTTTTTTTATCTACATATTCTTTTATAACGATAAGTTAAGTTAAATTTAGAATCCCTGATTTTAAAATATGTCGTTAATAGCAATTTGTTCATACTTAATCATTAGGAAACATCAACCTTAAACGCTAATTACTGAAACAAAATAATAATTTAGGTTCATAATGACATTAGAAATTTTACAATTGTTTATAGATATTTAAATTTACGATGATATAATTTATAGATATTTAAATTTAAGAGAATATAATTTTTAAAAAAAATCATAAATATTTAGAATAACTACATTAAAAAATATGTTATGAAATTAGGAGAATTTCAACTATATACTATATATTTTATTTATACTTTTTATTTACATTTTAATTTTCTTTGACTTTATCCATTTTTTAATTTTTTTCACATGTCTTTCTTTTTGAAGTAACGAGGCGGTTTCTATTTGGAGAACAAATTTTTATTAAAGTTCTTAACGATAGAAAAAACGTATTGCTGTTTTATATTAACTGTGTCATTTCGGAATCCATTCTTTACATAGTTGTTCATTTACTTTAGGGAACACGCAGAAAATTATATTTTTTTCCTTTTGTTCTTCTATCAGAATTTTTGCAAGTTGCAATCGCGCAAGCTGGCATTTTGTTAATAGTTTTAAAATTTTGTAAATTCACGGCAAAACTGAAGAAAGTCATTATATAAAATAACCAATGTCTTAGAATATGTCACAAAGAGAAATGCTACAATATTAGTTAGAACTAGTAAGGCCGAACGCTCTGTTCTTGAAGTAAAAGTGCGAGCTTTGCGCCCAAGTGACGTCACTAGAGAAAATCGGAGGATTGGCACGACGAGAGTTTCTTCAAAGGAGTGAACCAGCCCATTCTTTTTAGCCCTGGGCTTTAGCATAATTTGGTATATGCCCTACTGTTAATCAAACAAATACCTCAGATTTTACGTTTTGTCAAAAGGCAAGCGACTTCGTGAAGAAATTATTAGAAAGAATAACGAAATAGAGAGATCAAGAATTGTTGAATCACCAAAAGTGGGAGTGAATTAAATTTCTGAGTATGAATATGTTATTAAAAATAGAATAACGCATAACACGTGAGTAACACATGTAACACAAATATGCAGAATACATTGAAAATTTATAATTCAAAGACTCGATAAGAATTGTAAAAATGTTTGCAACATAGTACTTACGAAAATGAGCCAATTGACGAGATCGATGAATGGCTGAATGACTGCAATATCGTGAACCTTCTTGATCACCAGGACTGTAAGAGGAGGTTTGTTCCATGTCAGTCGTTGACTCGCAGGATCCTGTATTGTCCTAAAAACGGACATTTATTAACTGTTATTTTTTTGGAACATTAATTCAGTGTTATTGACAATGCATCTGAAGAAAATTATTTTTTTACTACACTGTAAAAAAAACTCGGTAAATCTTTAACCAGTATTTGGTGCAAAGTTTCTTATCATCCCAAAGTTTAGTCAAGTAGAAGTCACTTTATTTTAGTTACACCATAAATTGTCAAGTATGATCGAGAAATACTCCCATGGTGCAGCTGACTGCATCAAAATTTGGTAAAAGACATAAAACTTTGACGGTGTCTGTAAAACGGGTGCGACGTATGGTGTGGCAAAAGTCGAATTCTTGGCCATAGATGGCGCCACTGAAAAACACGAAACGCACACTGTGCCTTAAATTTGCTGGAGTTCACCAAGCAGGTTTGCCCGTGTTGCAACTGGCATTAAAAACAACAGCAACAACTTATTTAGGTTGGTAAATGTTTTATTTGCATTAATTACAGTTCTTTTCTTTTATGCTGAATTTTTAAATTTGGTTGGCTGTACAAAATGGTTAGAGGTATGTCATAAAATAACCTACTTCCGGTAAATAGTTTTGTTACGGTAAACAGCAAACTTGGCTTGCATTTGAGCGCTTTAAAAATACCTAATAATGGTGAAACTTTCCTCTGCTTTTGTAAAAGAAAAAAAGAATAAAAAACTGTGTTTTGTTTCTTCAAAACACCTACTTTTGGTGGAACCTTCAACTGATATTTGGAGCTAGTGAAAATATCAAAATATGGTAAAATTGAGCTCCATTTTATGTCGCCAGCAAATGAATACCGATTTTTGGTGTCACGTGGCTCGGAATTTTTAACAGTGTATATGTAAATGAAACGAAAAAAATTCTTTTATATTTTATTAAATCCTAAAGTGTACAACCTGAGTAGTTTTTGAGTTTTGTTTCCATGTTGTTTGGTCTTTTTTTTATATATAACAAGTCTTGAACAACTGACTGAATTAGTAGCTACTAAAGTTCCTGCATATAATGTATTTAATGATAATCGGGTAACAGACACGACTTGTTAAAAATGTTCATAGTAATTTTGTATCCAATCTAGAAAAACAAAGGAAATCCTGCATATTTCCATATAGTCATGGAATACGAATAGATTCCCTTTCGTCAAGGAAATTTTTTTTTGGGGGGAGGGGGTAAAAATAGCCCGAATAACCTTTACCAAATCTTTATATAATGCCCATATAATCTTTGTTTCTTTTAAAAAAAGAATTTGACAACATATTAATTAAAGTAATACCTTATCAAATTTTAATTGTTAATTTTTATTGGACTCTTATATTTAAATTACACACAAATTAAATTATTTTCTCCCGTTTTTCATTCACGCAGGTCTTCTCTCTATTATCTTAAAACCCGTTATCCTTTTTGACAAGATATTAAAAAAGAATTTCACAACATATTAATTAAAGTAATACCTTATCAAATTTTAATTGTTAATTTTTATTGGACCCTTATACTTAAATTACACACAAATTAAATAATGTTCTCCCGTTTTTTATTCACACAGGTCTTCTCTCTATTATTTTAAAACCTGTTATCCTTCTTGGCAATATATTAAAAAAGAAATTCACAACATATTAATTAAAGTAATATCTTACCAATTTTTAACTTTTATTGGACTCTTATATTTAAATTACACACAAATTAAATTATTTTCTCCTGTTTTTCATTCACGCAGGTCTTCTCTCTATTATCTCAAAACTCATTATCCTTTTTGACAACATTATGATCTTTTAAGGGACACGCCAAAATACAAGAGCACGACTGCATAATTCAATAAATTAAGAAAATAAATGTCTGAAAATTGTATAAACTTATTTTTTTTTATTAACTGTCGACAATTTTTCTTACAGGTTTTATACAAATTTCTGACAGTGAAAAGGATCTTGTTTGTTCAAACTAAGTAAGACTCTATTTTAATTCTTGAAGAAAAAAAACATTTCAGTTTCCCAATTACCTTATTTTCAAAATAAAAAAAAATTAAGAAAAAATAATTGAATCTGATAAAAAGCGCTCTTAAAAAGTGTAGCGTCATAAAAACAACGTCGATAAAAACAAAAGTTTTTATCGATAAAAAAAAAAGAAAGAAAAGGCTATATAGAAGAAAACACGAAAATCATTCTTAATTATTAAATGAAAAATTTAAAGCTCAAAATCTCAATTTGACTTTTTCCTACTGCCATATTTTTTTTTTAAAAAAAAGTGAGGATTCAAGAATAAAATTTACTAGAAACGCTCTTTAAAAAATGCTGTGTCATAATAAAAACGTCGATAAAAAGTAAAATTAATAAACAAAGCAAAAAAGAATTGTTCTTAGTTCTTAAAACGTAACTTTAGCGTTGAAAATCACAGATTTCTATGAACAGGAAAAAAGTTACAATAAAAGAATTAAGTCTTATTAGAAATGCAGCTTTAAAAACATATGCCGCCCTATAATAAATACAGAAAATTAGCAGCAACAAAAAATAAGGAAAGAAAGAAAACAAAACGAGAAAAACGTTCTTAATTCTAAAAATAGAATGTCTCTAGAAAAACAAATAATTGCAAGCACATAATAACATAAATTTGCAAGTACATGAATTTTAGAACTCAACAAATATGCGTAAATGTGTAATCGTCTAATAATGTATAATTGAAAATACTACTTTATATTATTCTTTACTAAATCTATTCAAATTCAAAGAAAAAAAACTTCACCGAATACTTGCCTGATCAATCGATCAACCGAGTATTCGGCAAAAAGACCAAATAGGCCGAATACCGAATGTTCGTTATATCTCTTTTTCTATTTTAAATCAGGGGCGCAGGGGGAGCACGTGTACCTCCATAGGTTTTTTGATTAAATCCCCTTTTTCGTCAATTAGGAGCATTTTTTTAATTGTGAATTTTTATTTATTTATCGTAAAATTACCTTTGTTTAGATAAAAACTAATAATTTTTAATTATTACACAAGAACAAAAAGTGCAAAACTTGCTGATTTTTTTAGAAATATTTTTAAATGCAAAGTAGCGTGCTAAGTTAACTACCCCTGTATCGTCTTCACCTGTTTTAAATAGTTCCAATATTCGAGTACCTAACTGGAAAAAAAAAACAATCAACTTCCTTTATAAATTTAACACTAAAAATCTCACACGTAGCCAACTTATGCAAGTCTTGAGTAAAAATAAAAGATCTCATAATAGTTTTTCATAAATATGTCATAAATACTTTATTAAGCATTAAATGAAGTTGCAAATTAAAATTAAATGGAGAAAATATTACTTTAAGCGATTCAAGACTGGCGAATGGAAAAAGAAACATTCCATGGCCATTTCTATTTTATATGTACTAAAAAGTACGTGCGCATACAAATACGAGAGAACCGTATTCAGATCATGTTCGTGTAATCTTGGGCAGCTGGAGTCAGAAAGGCTCGTTTAGTATGTAATCAAGTGGGATAAGAAAAGAGAATCACGTGATCACATATAAGTGATTATCCTCTTGACGGAGTTAAACTACAGCAATTTGAAGAACTTTGAACTTCAACAGTGTTTTCAAAAAACAACTAGTATGAAATGCTGAAACTGTTATTGTTTCTTCAATGACAAATTAATTCATTTAAGATGAAAATAAATAATTTTGATAAACAAATAAACAACTTACATTACCATAGCAGAGTTTTTCATTATCCGGCCACAGGGTCCGAACTGACAAATAGGACTGGGTGCATTTAAAGACCGTGTTCGCCTGCAAATAAAGAAGTAAATTGTCTTAGACCTTAAAATAGAAACATTAAGAGTTTATGTATAATGATAGTTAATAATGAAATATTATTTTGCATAAAAAAAAGCAATGACAAATTTCTACACTACTGAGAAACAGCGTCCAATGTAATATGCAACATTTAGTACAATACTATTACTTAAAAAATAATAATGCAAGTTTTTTTTCCACTTTGTGCACTACTACAAAGCGATTGTCTATGTAAAAATATTACTGGATTTGCCCTTGTTAGTCGGAATTTTTAATAACAATTATGAAATTAAAAAAAAAAGGTAGGAAATTTTTGACCAATTTTATGGCCCAAAAATATTTATTATTCGAGTCAAATAGATTTTTTTTCATGACCAAAATACGAGGAAATACACTATAAAAACATTCTACAATATGCAAAAAAGGTGAAAAATTCAAATTTAGCGTTTTTATGCAATATATAAAAATAAATAAATTTAAGTTACTTCTGCTTAATTAATTGAATTCTTTTTAAAATAGCTTTAATGAATCTACTTTATTCTAATTAAAAATCATATTTCATTCCATTATTTAAAGCATGAATTTTTAATGAGGGTGTTCCTCTCTTGTTTTCGTTACACTTTATTTTGCATGTCTTTTTTACAACGTTTAATAAAATGAAAAATATTTTTACACCTTTTTTACATCAACGAAACAAGTCTTTCAAACATTTGTGCTGTGAATTGCTTTAACTAATTAAAATAACAGTTAAAAATATATCCAAAACCATTCCAAAAGTATCTACCTAATGCCAGCGTGATAAAATATTTTTGGAATAATAAAAATAACTTCTTCAATCATAATTTGATTACGCAAAATGACAATTTGCATGATGATTTGATTTGATTACGCAATTGATTACTCAAATGAAATTAGCGCCATCTTTCCTTTTCCGTGGCTTATTTTATTTTCTCAGTCTGAAATTCACCTTTGTACTAAATTTTCATGCATTTTAAAATGATGAGTGCTATTTTTGCCCTTTCACACATTAAAAAAAACACATTAAATTTATTTGCATAAACATTTCTGGATGAATATATACATATGCATTCAAACAATAAAATTGGATTTTTAATATGTGGAAATTTCAACAACATTGTGTCATTGAAAATTGAATGTTTGATTTACAATAAATAACTAATATTATTCTTTCTTGGTTGCCGTTAAAAAAATGACCAATGTACCTGCGATTGTATATTGGGTACCCATTACCACAATTAATAAAGCATCACTGGCAAAAATAATAGATTTACGTTTTTTTCTAGACCCCCCCCCAAAAAAAACAGAATTGTAACATATCATTTTAAAAAGCTCATATAAATTCACCCTTAAATAAACAATATATATTCATACATTAAATATTTTGTCATGATTTTATCAATAATCAATTTTCATTATTTAGTTAGAAGTAATACTTTACATCTTATAAAACAATTTCTCATAATTAAAATAGCACTTGAATTTTTTTTATAAATTTAATCAAGCATGATATAAAAATAAAAACATTTACTTCATGACAATTGCAAATGAGCAATAATTTATAGATATTTTTTAAATTCCTCGAGTTCATACGTTTAAATATTTTTTTAAAAAATTTACGAAGCATAAATTAATGTGAAATTCAATTAAATCTCACCCTGGGTCATCAGAATGCAGTGGACAGTGTCCATTAGCGATCGACGATATTAAATGCATGCATCCATTGGAATGAGAGGAAACATTTATGTTGTTGGCTAACATTTTGGGAGAATATCAGGTGTTAATAGAACATAGAATTTGGGAAACAATCCTCTAACAGTGACATACAGATTCAGAATTGTGTTCCATTAACGCAATGAGGCATGTCAAGGAATGATGCAAGTTTCTAACGTGTGGGTTCTCGCCAAAAAGGAATTTGGTTTCGTCTCGCTGAGTTTTAAAGCGGTTGAACAGGGCGCTTCACAAAAAATTCGCCAAAATAAAATTCTCGCAAAACCTGAATCGTTTCAGTAACAGTGCTGGCTAGAATGGAATATATATCACAAATCGTGATAAAAATAAAATAGTTTTATTGTTTTCATTTGAACGCAGAGATTATTAAAGAATTTGAAGAAGAAAAGGAAAAAAAAAAAAGAAGAACTAAGAAGGTTACAATAAGGAAGTATCATGTTTGCTCAGAAAGAAGGAAAGTAGCTTAATTTTTCAAATGGCATTGAAATTTTTTCTTATCAAATCTGTAATTTGCCGGAGGTTTTCAGTAGCTAAATTAGTTAATATTAGCGTGAGAAACGAAACGTCATCATAACTTTGTATCTAATGTTCAGACTATCACGTTATCACAAAACGCTTTGAGGGGAAAATTTTAATTAAGCTAATTAATTCGTGAAGACGATATTTTTAATCATGAAATCAAACAGAAATGAAACTTTTTTTTAATGAAACAAAATTTTTTTTGACAGATTTGTATTCTTGCCCATCAAAATATGGGGAAAAGGTAGCTGCAAAGATCTTTGTTTTTTAAAATTGCATACTTTAAAAAAATTTACATACTTTTATAAACCTTATAGCACTGAAATTTTTTCTTATCAAATCCGTAATTTGCCGGAGGTTTTTAGTTAATATTATGTAGCTAAATTAGGTAATATTAGAGAGCAAAATAAAGAAACGAAGCGTCATAACTTTTTATCAAATGTCCAGGCTATCGCGTTAACACAAAAAATTTTAAAGCGAAAATTTTAGATAGGCTTATTAATTCACAAAGAAGATATTTTTTGTCATGAAAACAAGCACAATATAAATATTTTTTTAATGAAACAAACTTTTTTTCGACAGATTTGTATTCTTGCCCTTCAAAATATAGGGAAGGATTAGCCGCAAAAAATTTTGTTTTTTAAAATAACATAGTTTTAAAAATATATAAAAGTTTAATATACCTTAAAATTTCAATTTTTTTTTCTCAAAAATTAATAAATTAAAAAAAAATAATTCAAAAAAAAATATGTAAAATTATTTTTTGCATGAAATCATCTTTGAATAAACAATTATTATATTGGCTGAAGTGCTTGATTCGCTTAAATGTCAAAAAAATCGGTCGAATAGTTCTCGAGAAATCAGATTTCGGATATATGAGTTCTTAAAATTCAATAACTCCGAAACTATTGGATTGTTTTCGTTCAAATCATATTTTTTGTCTTTTCAAATTACGTGTTTTAAAATGAAGCAAAAATTCATATACCATAGAATTCAAAATTTTATCGATTATAATTAAATAAATTAATGAAAAACTCTAAGTAACTATTAAAAATTATTTTTAGAACGAAATTACACTTAGAATTAACGAATTGTATCGTTGTGTGCGAAAAACTTTCCGATTCACTTGAAAAGCTATCGAAATATGGCGAAAAGTGCAAAATCCTAAACCATTAAAAGTGAATAATTAAATAATGAATAATTAAAAAAATTGAACAAAATTATATAAATGAAATAAAATAAAAACATTAAAAGCATAAATAAATGCGTATGAATGGACATACTATAATTTCGGTTTCATAAACAAGAACCTTCCTCATTGTCTAAACACAAAATCACAGTAGAGAATGTAACAAGACAAATACGAAGTAGTTTAACCAATAAGAGAAAAAACCAGCCTGTAAAAGATTATGAAAGAAAGGGAGTAAAAAATTGGTATAAGTTTTTGGACAGGAACCCTAAGGTGCAAGATGTAGAAAATTAAGGTCGAAAGATCATTAACTAAATTTTTAGAAATTTTCAAGATATGGAATGATTACCAGAAATCAAGGTCAGTAAACGAAGATTGATTTTAACAGAAAAAAACTCAGATGAATGATTAGTTCAATTTTTCTATAAAAAATATATTATTCACTTGATTTCCTGATTCATGTTCTTTAAGTCGAAATTTGAGGTTACGCATGGTTTTTCAAATATATTCACTTCAAATTGCACACTGACATGAAATTTGATGAATACCCCAGCTGTTAGTCTCAACAAACTTTCTTAGGGAACTTTTCGCTGCATCAAAGATTTTTACTATTACTTTTTACTTTAGAATGAGATGATAAAATTAAAGATATGTTAATAATAAAACACTAACATGAAAAGCATTTTATTTCAAAGAGTAAATTATTGATAACTTTACAAAAAATTAGATTAGCAAAACTTTGCTTTTATTCTTTTCATCAGTTGAATCTTTATCGTAATAGAAATACCCCTTTTATTTTACTAAATTTTTACTAACTCGATGGTATCTTACAGTCAAAATTTAGACTACTTTTAGACTAGCTAGAGCAGTCAATGTTCTGAAGCTCCGTGCTCCGTCAATACTAAGATCAATCATTTCCCAGGGCCGCTACCAACAGAATTTATCGCCAATCGAAATTTTCCAACCACATTAAGACTAGCTAGAGCTCAATTTTTAACTCAAGCTCTATGCTGGATAACAACACTATTTGCAATCATTTTCCGACAAATAGAATTTAACGCGAAGTTACTGCCCAAGGGATTTTAAAGCCTGTCAAACTTCGAAACACTTTCTGACTTACTAGAGTGCTCACATTGTAAGGGTATACCTCTGTGTTTCACAACAATACAAGTTTCAATCACTTCCTGCTAGCTGTAATCAGAATTGATCACAAAATTAATCGATTACTGTTAGAAATTTTGAACACTTTCCATCAAACATGATCAGGCACAAAACTTTTCAGAACCAAAACAAGAATCGTAGGGTATATCACTTTCGTAATACACTTCTAATAATCTATTATACATATCAATCTATTATTATCTTCTATTAACGGCGCTTGATAGCACCCGTTATTCTGAACCATCAGTTATACCAGCCGTAAGCAAAAGGTTAACAGCGCTTGATAGCACCCGGTATTCTGGACCATCAGTTGTACCAGCCGTAAGCAAAAAGTTAATATATATTAATCTATTGTCACCGATAATCAACTTCAAAA